CCCGCTAAATTTAGCGGGGAATTTTTTTCACTAAATTTAGCGGGAAAATATTTTTTCTTAATTTAGCGGGGAAACGTTTACGCTAAATTTAGGGGGGAATTTCTTCCGCTATATTTATCGGGTAGCTTTTTCCGCTGAATTAGCGGGGAAATTTTTCCGGTAAATTTATCGAAAAGTTGTTGCTCTAAATATAGCGCGGAATTTTTCCGCTAAATTCAGCGGCGAATTTTTTCCACAAAATTTAGCGGGGAAATTTTTCCCGCTAAATTTAGCGGGGATTTTTTTTCCGCTAAATTTAGTGGGGAAATTTTTCAGCTAAAGGTTTCATATTACAACGCATGGTTACTCTGACGTCGACGGCGACACCGCTCAAGGCGAAACGGGCGCCTAAGAGCAGCACTCTAAAAAGCAGGATTTGTTCACATATTTATCTTCCTGATATACGTCGTAAAATAATTTGTAAAAAGGTCCTTTTTGTTTCACCACTAAAGAAGAAAGTTAAGTTCGTCATACCGTAAAGTTTTGTCTTACCATTCCAGGAACTGATGTGAAATCACGCCATAAAAAGAAGAGTCGTTACTGCGCAGGCAAATGTCGCGCAGGCAGTGTCAACAGAGCTTTAGTCGATAATGAGAAGAAAGCATATCACAAGAAGATGGCATAGGACTTTATACGTCCTTTACTTTCATTTATATACCTTGTTCTTGTGCCCCTTCACTTTAACATTTTTTGGAACTTTGAAGGCATAGAATGCACCCTATCTGGTCAAAAGGCAATGCTGGGAATATTATTGTTCTCGGTTATCGCCCCCCAGACTCGTTTGCTTGCTCTCAACAGCCAATGTCCAAGAAATTAAAAAAAAAAAAAAATTCCATCTCACAACAAAGGTAAACTGAATAGCGTTTCATGTTTTTTACACAAAAGAAACTTTAATCCGTTCGGGTACATACCGTATTTACGCAGTTCATAGCGTTGCATGCCAACTTCAAAGCTTATTTCTCGATCTCGGCTGGCGAACAAGAAACGTTTTTTGTGGAGCACGAGAGAGGAACTGGAAATCCGGTCCGGCCGGTTGTCATACAGAAAATCACAAGTAACGCCTTCCATCGCATCAAGGAGAGCTTTCCCGACTATCTTTGCGATTTTGTGCGCCTAGTTAGCAGGATTGAGTGGCAAATTTGGAAACGGCTCTCTATAAGCACGAGCTTGTTAGGAGAATTTGACGGGATGGAATGGTCTTGAAATATGGCCGCCTAGAGGGTTAGAATACAAACACCTACCCTAACTATATTAAAGTATATTGTTGAATTTGAGTTAATTACATAATTTTGGACTACAATTATCCTTGGAATTACACACTGCCACATGTTAACAAAACATGGACGAATTCCTTCCACAGAGCACTCCACTCTACACTTTGCTGAGCGAATGCTGTGGAGGAGGCGAGAGAGGTGGCGAATCCATCCGCCTCTTTTTCGGCGATCGCTCTGCTAAAGTGGGACAAGAAGTGGGTGTAGGGACCGTGTGGAGTCCGATATAATAACATGCATATATACAACGAAACCGTAGAGTTGAAAGAGATGCGGCGTTAACGGTCGATCCGTTCTCCTATTTCGTAGGTAAACTGTGGCACGAATGCTTCCCTCTCGCTCCTACATTTGCAGGTCTAATCACGTTTAAATGGCAAGTTGCGTAGATTATCAATTATGGAAAGCACCAAAAGACTTCTCGACGCGGATGGTGATAACTCGTTTGACTGCCTGTTCGTGTCCTTGGGATCAGCGTCGGGTTGAGTCGAGCGGTGACAGTTTAGCGTTAGTAGTGACGGCTGGAGGGGGCTTCAATCAAGTCATATCGGTAGAGAGTGCGGTTGTGCCGGTTGCTGTTTGGTGGTCATTCATTTGCTCAGCACTAGTAGGAAAATGGTGAGCGTTGCTATAACCGGAAATAGCTTCATAATAGGGCGGCTTGAGCCGATCGATGGAAACGGTTTCCTTACGGTGGTTAGGGTCATTAATAAATCTTTTCGATCTTCCAGAAATTATATAGGGTGCCCCAAGTCACCAGGCTCGATCTTAAATTGACCATAAAAATGAACGCTTGCACGTAGCAATCTAAACTTTTCAACAAAAGTGTATTTTACGCTTCAGTTTTTTCTTGTTCAATTATAAAGCGTAGCTCCCTTTTTGTAAATAATGGGCCAAGGAACTTGCCAGGGTGAACGGCGGGCTGCGACGCAGACGACGAAGACGACTGGCGGGGCGCGTTTGGCGCTCGTATTGATAGACGGTGCTACCTTCCTATCTAGACTGCTCGCAACCGCCGTGGTTAATTTAAACCACAAAATAGTTTTTAAAGTACCTCTGGTTTAAAAGTCAACGCGGAGAGTAAAACCACAGTTTAAAGTAAAAATAAAAAAAAACGCGTTTGTATAATTACGGCGTTTTTGCTGCCAATGGATTTTGTCTACGTGTCATCTGCTTTCTTTCGCTAATCGGTTATACCTTCGGACGCTGCTGCCGACGCCATTTATTCATACGCGCACAAAACACGTCCCGCAACTCGACATGGTCGTCTGCGTTGCCATCCTCCGTTGACAAGGGCAAGTTTCTTCGCCATATTTTTTTCAGAAAGGGAGCTGCACTTAGTAATTTTACAAGAAAAACCGACCTGCGAACTAAATATTTGACGACAAGTTCAGATGGCTACGTGCAGGCGACAATATTTACGGTTCATTTTAGATCGAGCCTGGTGACTTGGGACACCTTCTTCAGAAAGACTCCCCACTGTTGGCAGCTGTCAAATTCCTGCAGAATGGCAGACTAAGACTGAAACGTCACGGTACTCTTTATGGGTTTGGTTGGACTGGAAGAAAAAAAAACACAAAAAAGATTATGAGCGCAGTGACGTTGCCCCTTCGACGCTGTGTGATTGGCTCGCGCGCTTCTCGTATTGGCCGTGCTCGGATGTTCGCTATCTTATCAAATGACTTGCACGTTCCTCGTTACAGTTGTTCTACCATTGTGCAGTGGTTCTGACCTTCTAATAAACGGCACGTGACTTTGTAAAGGGGTTTATTAAAAGTAAATTCTACTCTCCTCAGTTTTGCAGGTTTGCTTTCGATTGGACGGAAATTCTAAACAATCTGGCACGAAGAAGTAGAACAATACGTAGCTCTCGCCAACTGAAAGTTTAGTATAAAGATATACTATACCCTATCTGGCTGCTCGCATACAAAAACAAAGAAAAAAAACTATTTATGCGTTAGGTGTAGTGACAGCGCACTGACACACGCTCTCCACTCTCTGTCTAATGTAAAAAAGCGTCAGACATTTTCCGGGAGTTGCTTTCTGCGTAACTGCCGAAAAATGTTCAGTCCAATTCAGGGTTGCAAGGGCATCTATCCAGTGCACTATACTTTGTTTCAGCTTCGGTCCGAGCGCGGCCGATGTTATGAGCCAAAAGGCCAATCAAACAGCGCAAAAAGCGCAGCGTCATGGCGTGCTCTCTGCGCTTGATAGGACTAGCCGGTGGAGGAGCGCGCACAAAGAGACGGCGAATACCGGCTGTTCCTATCAACTGCGGAGAGCAGGCCATGACGTTGTGCCTCTTTCGCTGTTTGATCGGCTCATAACATCGACCGCGCTCGGACTGAAGCTGAAACAAAGTATACCAGATTGCCCGACGGGGACTGTCTTAATGACCATGCACGTTATCTTACCCATTCGTTGAACCATCGACCCCTCTGCCCGACATAAGATTTTCCACAGCTCAAGGGTATGTTTTACACCACAGATAAACTCCAATCTTCGAACTGCTTTCCGTGCTTCTTGTGGGACACCTTGGCCTGTTTCGTTTTCTCTTTATTTTTGAACATAGATTGGACAGCCTGTTTGGTGCAGCAACCACTTCCGGCACCTTGAAAAGTGAAGTCACATTTTCCTTTTCTTATTGTGAGACAGATTATGAAGGTAAAGAATTACCACCGGTCTTTTTGTTTTATTTTTTTTCAAGCTGGAGTCATTGTGCCTGTATTTTTTGTTTACAGCTCCATGTGTTTGTTTATTTCTTCTTCCCTTTTTGTTCAGCACTTCCGTCCAACGATATTGCAACTATTCCATATTTCGATTTTAATAAGGTATTATATTTACTGTAAAACATCGCTCATCGCGGCATCCAGGCTACTCAACACTCGGTGACTGAACGGTCTCTTTGGTCGAGCGTAAACAAAGATGTACTATCCTTGTCCAGAAGCTGCCTTGAATGTCGAATATCTGAAGTTCAACGTGATACTATTGCGCAATTTTCATTTTTCCCGGATGCCACACAGCGTTTGATTGAGGTCCGGGTCACCAATAATGTAAGGACTGAGTAAACGTCCAATATATTTAGATACCTATGTAGAGCGAAATCATAGAGCTAAAAGAGGTACTACGTTAACGCTCGATTCGTTCTCCGCGTGCCAATGCCCGTGTCCTCATCATTGTTTTTCACAATTACTATTTTGTTGGCGAACTTCCTCACAAAGGCTTTGCGAGAGTAGCTTGCCCTGCTTTTGTGAACATACATCAGGACATGGTGCCCGCTACGAGCAAACTCTTAGTAGAAAAACAAACTTGGAGTACTTCTCAAACAATGTTTTCTTATAAGGACTACTCTCTAACATATCGTGTGGTATCAAAGTTGCAAGTACATTTTTCTTTTGGAGGGCTCTATCAATATATTACCAAAACAATTTCGAGCAAAAATTGCAACTACTTTTTGTTTATAAATTTCAAAAGCCTAAAAACTAAATTTAATAAATTAAAAATGATTGCAAACCAAGACTTGAGGTGTTTTTCCCAAGAGAAACCAAGCGGTATTAGCACACTCTGTGGCGGCTGTATCAAAACAAAAGAAATGTATTACATACGTTAATCATACATCAACGTTGCATGAATATTCTTGTCTCTGCGTGCATTTCTCTGACCGGAAATCTCTGTCTCTGCATGTCGAGATAGGCACCTCTCCAAACTCAGCTACCATCACGTTCCGGGAAAAGAGCCGCTTGTGACCTGGACCGTGGGACAAGTGATTGACAGATCAGCCGACGTCTTCGGGGACGCCGTAGCCATGGTGTCCCATCATCAGGACATACGGAAGACGTACACGGAGTACAAAAAAGACGTGAGTGTACACTTCGAATATTTATTCACGTTATGCCCCGTTGCTGCAATTTAAATATACAGTACGAAACGCCTAACTAGGTGACCCAGGATTTGGAATATCTTTTCGTTTGCGTGATGTTTGTACACATGCGGAATGACAAAAAATTGTGTCGGGTAATTAAATTAAAAGTTAATAAACATACGCAGGATGCACTAAATATACGCCTGTTTATACGTTATTAGCATACTCTGTATTATTTTTATTCTGTTAGAACTGTGTTATTTTAATTATAGGTAGATCAACTAGCTGCGAGCCTGGTGTCTCTCAAACTTCCAATGGGCTCCAGGGTTGCCCTACTCTGTCCAAGAGTTTATGAAGGGGCACTGCTACTTTATGCGGCTCCTAAGGCGGGTCTTGTTATGGTAAATACAATTCGGTTATCTAGCTGCTCATGCGTATTGCATAATCAGTGTATGCAGCAAATAATACTGGCTCACGTCTGTAATGTTCAACAGGTTGGCATCCCCACACTCTGTACAGCTTCTGAGCTTGAGACTTCCTTGAATAAGGTAAGCCACCTAAGGCTCACAGACAACTTATTCATTTTTAGGTACGTGTACAGCTACAACCCTAATCGAAAATAAATTTCTGAGCAATCAATTTGAAGAGCAATGAAAAAAAAGAACATTTCGAAATAAAACTTTAATTCCATGCCATCGTAAGCGTAAGGGAACGCCTCATCCGGTGCCCTTGAAGTAATATTCCTCCAGGCATGGTGGCCATGAGGGGAAGTCCTTCTCCTCGTTCGTTGAATTGACAGTTGGCTTTAGCTGATTTTTATGCGAAGCACATCCTGTTTGTGCATATCCTACTGAAAAAAACCATTTGAAATTCAAACGGGTGGCAAACTGGTAAATCAAACGGGTGCAAACTTGTCGACCCGTTTGGATCAAACGTGATTATGGGATACGGGTAGCCGTTTGAAACGGTACCCGCTCGAAACGGTACCCATTTGATACAGGTGCCCGTTCGACCTTGCACGTTACCACACGTTTGAACGTGCCATTCGAATCGGGAAACTATGCTCTCGCCCTAAACGGGGATTGTCTAATAGGTTGGTTATCTGAAAGTTATTTAAGACGTTCTGAAGCTCATAAACCTATTTATAACATGGAGGAAACACGTAGAATAAATGTGCTCACATAGGTGTTTGCAAATGGACAGGAAAACAGACACAAAAGATTGTTTTCAATTCTCCTCAAAGTTTATTACGTCTTCTGTAGACAAGTACAAACGTGCAAGCGATCTGTGAAATGTGAGAGGCACTTTGAGCTTTTATACAACTGAGAAGATAGCAAACCAAACAAGAACCGAGGTAATTCTAGACTATGAAGGTAGCCCTTTCGGGAAATTATTCGCGCGGCTGCCGCGAGAATAGTGGCTGCATAATTATATAGATAATCTGGAAGAGTACGAGTAGAAGAACAGTCAATCGTTGCCAAGAAGTACGTTGCAGTGCACTTACCATAAAAATAGCGGACTTGAAAGATGTACTCCGTGATATTTGTCGACACGGTCAAAGCAGGACAACCACACAAACACAAATGAGAGGGAACGGCTTCTTGGAAGTTTCAACACGATGTGGCGCACAAGCTGTCAGTTGCCGAACCCAACCAAACCGCAAGAATTCCTGACTTCTTCGAAGAATCGCTTGTTGCCGATATAGACGTAGGACTTTTCGAACACTGATAGCTTTGGTGCACATCCAATACGTTGTCGAGAGACATCCTAATAAGACCGCAGGGTTAGGATCGAGACAAATCGAAGCAGGTGGACGCGCTAAGTTTGAGCTGGAGCTGACAACAAGCAGACAAAGAAAAAAGCGGCTGCTAGGCGCACCCTTCCGGATCTCGATGCTTATCAGCGTATAGCTCGCGCGCGGGTGCGGGTCAGGTGACGGGTGACAAGAAAGGAGGGAGGGGGCGAAAACCACAGGGACAGCCCCTCTCCCTCTCAGCAGGCATTCCAGAGAGATGTGTTTTTGTAACCTCGAAAAAAAAGAAAAAACGCGCTCGCATTTTAGCACGTTCGAACCTTGGAAATGGCGGCGGGGCGGCCAGAAGCTCGGCTTGCGCCCGAGCGAAAAAAGTACTCAGTGCGAGCTTGTAGTTTGCCTGCTGCAACGGCGGGCGTGCTCTCGCAATGCTCGATGTTCTTGCAGCCGCGTGTACGCGTGCTACCTTTGCTGCGTCTTGAATTAAAGTGAAACGGAGTCTAGACGTACATTCTTTCACATGGTCGCGTCTTCTGCGAGAGAGATTCGAGCTGAATAAGTAAATTGAGGCAACAAAGATGGACAAAATTTTAAAGTTCTGTCAAAAATATCGGCTCACCAACGTCGCGTGTTTACGTAAAACAACAACAACAAAAAAAAGATGTTAGTTTTAGTTGCAGTATAAGCGAACATCAGCGCAATTGAAATATAAATATAATTACTTGCATTACGCTGACGATCTGAAATCGATGAACCGGCGCTACCAGCTTTCCGGAAACATTGGCTGCCACGGCTGAAACGCTAGGCGTGCCCACACCGCCGATCTGTACGTTCAATATCAAACGGGCTCCGGAGAGCCGTTTGATTAAACCGGTGCAGTTTCCAACATGGTCACCGGTTTGAGCAAACGTGCGACAACTTTGCCCAAACGAGTCGCCCATTTGCCCAAACGAGCGACCCATTTGCCTAGACGAGCGACCCGTTTGCCAAAGGAGTGACCTGTTTGTCCAAATAGGTGACCGTTATGACTTATACGGGGGACCCCTTAGAGCCGTACGGGCGACCCCTTTGACAAACTGGTGACCGGTATGGTTAAACTGTTACCGGTATGAACCCGTTTATTTTCATATAGGCGCCAAATGGGTTTTTTCAGTAGGGTAGCGATAAACAGTTGGGCTCAGGTCAATGCAGCATTAAGCGCACATAGCTGATAGCAGGAAATGCATAAGCATACAAGTCATAGTATGGATACACTTACTCATGATTAATGAGGTATATCAAACATAAATTTTCGACATACCTCACAAACATTTATCATACAGCTGCTTGCGCACGTGTTTGAGCAAATGTAGTTTATTATCGTTTTTTTTTTATTTACAACATGCATATCAAGCTGAATGTGTGAAATAAATTTCAAATAATATTGTAAACTGCATTTCTGTATTATCGCTCACAGTCATTTGGGCGGCAAAATTGTTCAGGGGCTGAGAGGGTCTGAAAGGCTGAAGGTTCTGAAGGGCTGAAGGGGCCTGAAGGAATGAGGGGTTTGATGGCCTTCAAGGGACACTGACAGGGTATTTTTGCTCGCCGAGGTTGTTTTTTTTTGTACGCGACATATGAGAGCCCGACTACCCAGAACAGAATTTGCGTCTCGAAATTCGTTTTTTTTCCGCCCGAAAACAGCCGATCAAGAACTGTCCAGTTTGAGCCGCGCTCCCTCTTTCTTCCGTTGTCACGGGCTGTTTTCTAAGGTTTTGACGCGACCACCAAAGTTAATCAAATTCGTGGGTCATTGAAGGCACACACCCAATACTAAAAATAAAAAAAACAAAAAAATGAAAGCCGTTTACAAGTCCCTGTAATGCTGGTTGGAGCGCAGCTCTTAAGGAGGAGGATGGAAGCGTACTGAGCGACAGGTGACTCCTTAAGGTCACGTGATCTCATGGGAGGTCGGGTGACGTCAAGAGGGTCACGTGACTTCGGGGGAGGGGGGTCACGTGACCTCAGAGGGTCACGTGACCTCAGGAGAATCACGTGACCTCAGGCGGTTACGTGACCTCAGGGGGTCACGTGACCTCAGGGGGTTCACGTGACTCCAGGGGGGTCACGTGACTCCAGGGGGTCACGTGACCTTAGAGGGTCACGTGACCTCAGGAGTCACGTGACCTTTGGGGTCACATGACCCCCTAAGGTCACGTGACCCCACTGAGGTCACGTGACCTTGGGGGTCACGTGACCTTGACGATGACGATTTGATGACGTCATCAGTGACGTCACTGATGACGTCATAAGTGATGACGATGACGATGCGGATGCCAATGACGTCATCAGTGACGTCACTGATGACGTCACCAGTGATGATGACGATGACGATGCGGATGACGATGACGTCATGAGGTTGCATGAAACCTGGATTGCATGCAACAGGTTACATACAACTCGTTGTATGCCACTTGCATGCAACAGGTTGCATGCAACCTGTTGCATGCAACTCTCGAAGGAACCCGAGGTCCTCCCGAGGTACTACCGAAGAAACCCGAAGTCCTCCCGAAGGGACCCGAGGTCCTTCCGAAGGACCTCGGGTTCCTTCGGGACGACCTCGGGTTCCTTCGGGAGTCCTCGGGTCCCTTCGGAAAAATTTACCCATAATGCACCGCGCGGTTACGCCGACGGCGACGACGACGGCGACGGCGACGCCGACGCCGCTCAAGCCGGAAACGGGCGCCTAAGAGCTGCGCTCTAAAAACATTTTGTTGCAGTTTCCAAAAAGCTTCCAAGACGTTCATTGGGAAACAAAGGTAGCACAGACAACCGGAAGCATTCTGTACGTTCAATGCATAATTCCCAACATGGCGTCGTTTCGCGTATCGTGGGACTAGCAGATGGCAGCGGACGACAGGCGTTGGGTTCTACTTCAGAACTGTCATTCACGGTACTGGCGAATTCTGTCTCCCTTCAAAAGAGAAATTTCGGACAGATCAAAAGAACTGATATTCATACCGTACGACACGCCCGACCAGCAAGCCGATTGCACGAAGACCTCGTCGAGCTGTCGTCCCTTCTTGTGGCTGAAGACATCGCTCGCTGAAACCTCAAGCACGAAGTGCGTACATAGAGTTGAATACGCACGAGTACTGTTTCCTTAGTTGGCGCGAATGTGGTCAATGCGTAGTGCTGCCCGACTTCAAGCCGGGAGTGCATGTACTGGTTGGAAATTGGCAGCAAACTTTCCGACATACAGTCGATTGGATGCATAACTGGCATAACTAGGGATAGAAGAGTTCCTTCAGTAGCTCATTGGAAAGACGTCCGCTTCACACGCAACGGTCACGGGTTCGACCCCTAGTGTGGCCTTACCATTTTGTTTCGAACATTTTTCGATGTTTACATATCATTTTTTTTTACAATTATCACTAAAAATGAAAGCCGTTTACAAATCCCTGTAACGCGCGATTGGAGGAGGAGTAGGGAAGGGTACTGAGGGGGTCACGTCACCTGCGGGTAGTCACGTGACCCCGGGGGATCAGCCCCCCCGGTTACGCCGACGGCGACGCCGACGCCGACGCCGCTCAGGCTGGAAACGGGCCCCTAAGGGCTGCGCTCTAAAAAACGATTGTTGTGGACGATACGTAGCTGAACTAAATGGTATTGCATTTCATTTTTGACTCCACTGCCGCACAATGCCACTTTCAGATGTGAGGCAGCTCTTCACGCAACATCTTGGGAGAATTCTTTTTGGAGCCGATCACGGGAATTTCCCACGGGCACTCTCTACTAATTGCCACCACTTAAATG